TATCATATCATAACTATTCCTTTAATATTTTAAATTAGGTTTTGTAGTTCTGTTAATATAAAAGTTTAATTTTTTTATGTGTATTTGTTACTGTTATTATTATAATTATTTAATATATGTCAATGTAGTTTGTATTAAGTTTATTTTACTAAAACTTAAACTAAACGAAAATGAGAAATGTTGCCTTCCAACTAACTGAAATAAGTTTAAATACTACTTTTTGTTTATATACATTTTGTTTAGGTACTATTTATTTCATGTAATTAATTAGTTATTAATTAGTTAATGATAACCGTGGATATGAACTGAAATTCTGGTCACAGTGTTTAGTGACTTTACATGACAATGACAGGAGTTGAAATATTTTATCAGAGAAAATGTAAAAGATTTTTATCACATTATTCTTACATTAACAAGTGTAATGTAGATGACTTCTAGCTAGGAATATGAAAATTCTGGCCGATACAGAAAAACCGGTAATTGTTTTCTAGTTATAGCCGAAAACTCATAAATGGTTAATATTAAAATTCTATAGTATTTTGTCTAAAAATTAAAATACTAAACTAAAAATAAATTTTTAAAATGCTACAGGATTAAAAATAGATATTGATTTTGAGTTTTTTTTTTTTTTTTTAAAGATTACATTTAACAGTAAAGTTAAATTACTAGAGTTTTTACAGCTTAGCCTTAACGGAGCATTAGATGACTGCAAAGCTAAAAAAATAGGGTAAAATGAGCAGTTAAATATAATTCATAATTTATACAACTAAATCCATAAAATACGTACAATTTCTAAATTCCCCACCCCCAAAAAAGTTATTTCTAATATCGTCCAATCATTGATATTGTATTGATATATTACGTAAAAAAAGCTTCATTTGTATTGAACTTGGAACGTACTTTTAAAACCACCTTAAAAACTCAGTCCCAGTAGTTCAAACCCAACCCTCCTCCCTACAGTCAAATCAGACTTTATCCTTTCAATTAATTTCTTCTCACCTTGTCTCGCACAAATCCTCTGCAGGCCTTTAATTCGGAGACGGACAACTTCAAGCTGATGTACGGAGGTCACCAGTACCACGCCAGCTGTGCTAACTTCTGGATTAACTGCGTGGAACCCAAACCGCCGGGTCTGATCCTGCCCGACCTGCTCTAGAACCCTGAGACCCCTGATGTCTGAAACATCATGAACTCTTCAGTCACTTTAGCTGTTTATCGCTGTTTGCCTTTGAACCGATACAGCTCTCATCACTTGAATTTGGGACGCAACTGTCTAGATCTGCCATTGTCTGTTGGAAGACCAGATAAATGATGTACTACTGAATAATAGTTTATTTAAAAATTGTAAATGTGTCTTTTGTCTCTACCTTTTTGGATCTGCTTCTCTTCTGCACAAAAGTGTCTGGTTGGTTGATTCTTTGCTGGTGACTTCTCTACCTTGTGAAGTAAATACTGCGGAGCTGTTCTGCATGTAACTTACGAATAGCAGACTTGTAATATAAAATCCATAAAACAATAAAGGTAAAACATTTGAAAGCATCAAGAAGTGTAGCAGATATTACTTGCAAGTGAGAAACATTTAGACATTGGTATCTTCTTTTACGTCATTGTTTTCTGTATGGTTGTGCTGGAACACAAGTCACTTTTGTAGTGGGTCGGGAAATGTTTGCGATTTTCTGAGAATCTTTTATAAAGCCTGGAAGATGTTCTTAAACGCTGTGATATTCAGTATTCTGGATTCAGATGCGACTCTTTTGAAGGACTTTGTTGTGTGCAACTTTGAAGGGAATTCAAAAGTCTGGGGATGTAAGAAGTGAAAAGCAAAGCCTTTCCCCTTCTTCCAACCCAAGCAGTTATCATAAGAACGACGTAAACTTTCATTATGAATTAATTTCTTTTCATTGACGCACTTGTCATGAATCAACGAGAATACAACAAAGATTAAACGGCTTTGTGTACATGTTGGTCTTTGTCAGTGTTTTACTGAGGACTTAACATTGTATTCATTGTTGTCATCTACTTCATTTATGAGAGTTTTCGACTAAAGTGGTCCTTTTGTGTCTGTATTTCTGGTTATAATTGAAGCACAAATTAAATATTTGAATGTTAGTACTGGATGCAAATGTGAAATTTTTGTGTCCCACATTGGAGTGATTACTCTGCGATTCTGTAAAGTCAGCCTTCATCTGTTCGGTCCGTGTATCAGGGCCAGCTAGAGACAGCACTTCCCTCACTCTGACTCAGCGCTAATAGCTGCCATTCACAGCAATATTACCTTGGCAACCGTTTCCAAGAATACTGGACTTTGAATTTGTATGATTGTCGAAAGACATCATGATTTAGTCCCGTCTGTATGTACAGAAGATGAGGAGTGACTTCTGTTAGATCAACATTTCCACCCTGTTGCTCATTCGCATCAAATGCCTGTTGAAATTTTAAAGGTAAAAGTAGTTTAAAATATGGATTTGAGTCGGCTTGCAATTTTGATGCTGTTTTGACGGGCTGTTAGAGTAGATAATGTTCCGTCCTTGTCTTTATACACACGTGACTAGCAACCTTTATCCACCTTGTCGTCGCTGAACAGCAGGGATTAGATTTACAGAGACTTCCTGCTCCATGTTAATCCAGACTTTCTACAATGCATTAGAAGATTTAATACACAGGAAGCGAAACGGCGTTCTCTGACATGATCCTACAAAAGCTTTCAAAAGAAGGTTTTTACAGAAAAAAACTTCTCTAAAGAACCTTCCTTAAAAACATTTTTCTCAGAACATTTTAATAATTTAAACCTTTTGTGGAATGGAAAGATTCCATTGATGTGGCTTCCATTAAAAACACATTAAAACATTAAACAACAGCCTGTCCATCAGTCAATTCGTACAGTAGGAATTACTTTTGACAAGTATTAAGGTATTTTATTATGTACAAATATTACTATGTAGCTTCATTGTAATGTGTACGTACTAAAAATCTAAACGTTAAAAAAATAAGAACAAGGAATACGTTAAAATATTTCACCCTTTATTCATTTTAACACACTAATTAAATCAGAACTCTTTTACATGAATTCAGTTATTTTTAACACAAATTAGTAAAAGCTTTGCTAGGAGTCCTCTGACAGATGTCCTCTGGTTATAATTACTGCTTCACTGCAGAAAACATCTGAAAGAAACATCTTGAGTTAAAAATTTAAAACCGAGTAGAATTGCAAAAGGACCAAACAGGCAAACTAGAATTCATTGGGGAAAAAAAACTACTGCCATATTTATCGTTCTGCTTCTTGTGAAACATCCTGTTTTGTAGGAGCACTGACATTATAAATGCCAATACTGTCCTTCGTGGTGTTCAATAAAATTTCTTTTAATTTACATACATAGTTTATAAATCTGTTAAACTTCGGTAATATTGTAGCGTCTTTCTGTTAAACATTGTCACTTCACAAAACCTTCCAAAAATCTTTTTTTAGTATTTTTTTTGTATGCACAAGTTTAAATACACCTTGGAATATAATATTTTTAATATATATAATTTTCAAATGCTACCAGTAATCAAAATCAGACTGCTGCCTCTCAACAAAGATAGCCAGCCAAACTGAAACAACATCCTCACAATATTACGATTGATAAGTCTTAACCAAGGACTGAATTCCTGATTCTCAGCACCACACTTGGTTCCCAAAGTGCTCCTAAAACCAACATTATCATCGCCAAAATTTATTTCAGCATTCAAGGATGGAGTATCACTTCTGACCTCATAAAATATGCACTCAAAGTGACTTTTTCCATCTTGAAAATGGACATAAGCACTCCCATCTGGCTTTATTCTCTGGCAGGAGGGACTTGTGGACGTACGGAAAGAGGCCGGAAGACAGTGGAGTCAAAAATCGTTTGGTGGACCAGTCCTCTGTGCTTGAACCAAAGTCCAAACCCCTCTTCACAATCCCCAGTAAGGTGCCAAGTTCCTGCGGTCTCTCTCGTACACGTCGGGAATGACCCCGTATGGTGTCTGGATCATTTTCACAGAGTTCCTGCCAAACAGTTTCCTCTCGTACTCAATGAGCTGTCGCCAGAACCCTCCATTAGGACGAATGACGGGTCGGCGGGATTTGACCCAAGCGTGAGCCTCGGCCAGGGAAACTCTGTGGTACTTCATGAGGTAGGCCAAACAGAGCGAGGCGGAGCGGCTCACCCCAGCCGCGCAGTGCACCAGCACGGCTCCCCGTTTGCGGCCCACGCTGTGGATCTTATCAGCCACGCTGTCAAAATAAAGCGAGATCGGAGAATGAGGCATATCAGCCAGTGGCACTTTCATATACTCCATGTGTGGCCAGTTGAAGTTGGGCAGCTCGATGGTGGCGTTCACCACACAGGTAATCCCTTTGGACAGGAGGAGGCTGCGGTTGGACGCCACATTCCCCCGGCCGAGGAACAGGGAAGGAGTGATCTGGGCGATGCCCCCCAACAGGCTGCTGGTCTCGGGCAGCAATCGGGGGACGGCTGTGGGCACCACTGAACTGCGGTGGTGGTGGGGATGATGGTGGTGATAGTGATCTTGGTGGTGGAAGAACCCATGACTTCGGGAACCCATAGTGGAGTGGAGGCAGGAGACGGAGAAATAGAAACCTTGAGGTGGCGCCAGGGTGTCTTTTAGTTCTCCTTGGTCATCTCAAAGCGAACGGTGATATCATACAGATCATTGGGTGCACCTAAAACAAACCAAGAGTCAGTTTGCTTGAAATAAATAGAAACCTTTGTTAGGAGGTTTACAGCAGGGGTCTCCAACCCTGCTCCTGGAGAGCTTCCATCCTGCAGATTTCAGCTCCAACCCCAAACAAACACACCTGAACCAGCTAATCAAGGTGTTTGGGGTTACTTGATAATTACAGGCAAGTGTGTTTGAGCAGCGTCAGAACCGAAGTCTGCAGGATGGTACAACAGATATCCAGGAGCAGGGTTGGAGACCCCTGGTTTACAACATATGTAGAGTCAGTGAGGAACCGTCAGGGCCCTCAGAGAGGGCCTAACTTTTTGTAAAAACAATTATAATAATTTTAAATGTTTAAATAAATGTTTTAAAATATAGTATTTTAAATAAAAAATGATTATTACTCATTTTAAATAAGCAATTCATAATTTGACAAACAAAAAAAAACAGCCTCTTCAGTGAATGGGTTAAATGAACGCCGCCCATTTTCTCCATATTTGAATGTTTCCGCCTAGCGTCTGCGGCTCTGTGATTGGAGGTCCAGCTATGAAATTACAGAGGGCCAAGCAATAGTAAATCAATGAGAGAGTAATTTCGAATGACAGAAAAATTGACCAATCATATCGTTTCTCTAAATGGGCGGGCCTTGTTATCACTAGTTTTGACAAGTTCCACCCACTGTGGAGATCTCTATTGGAAAAAAAGATATATGCTGATAAACAAACTAGTTGTTATTCATGTCACGATGGAAGCCGCAAATAACGTAAGTGAGGACATTTACTAGGCTGCTGTGCCAATAATATTTATTATAAACATTGCTTGTTTGTGTGTGAAGTGTCTTAATTTGACTTAAATTTAGCTGTTTTATTTTGGTAATATCAGTCACTCTCGCTGTACTGTTTTGTTGTGGTCGCACACCGGACGAGAAGCACAGTGCCCCGGTGCAACACAGACGGCAGTCCAGAACATTTAATCTAGTCTCCAAACAGTCAAAACTTAACTTCAAGAATGAGCAAGTGGTGTCAATGAGTTTAAAGTTCGGGGATCAAAAAAACAACAAACGGGATGAGAAATTGCAATCTATAGCTCACTAATGAATCAAGAAATTTATTAGAGCAACAGAAAGACAAACGTTTTGCTGAAAAAATGCACAATACGCAATCTTCCAACCTAGAATGAAGTCATTATGTACATTAACAATAATTTGGGACAAATATAATGTATTTTAATGGAAAATTATGTGAGTGGCACTGAGGCGCTCTGTGGTGCGGCAGGATTATTATCGGCGGACAGTCGCCGGTGGTGCTGCCGGTCTGCGTGCACTCATAGAAAACAACGTGTGCGAATATTAAAGACGTGGTCCTCCGGTGTGCGACCGCCTTAAGGCTGGAATAGCCTCTTGTTTCAGAGGTGGAATTGTCAAAGATGACTTTTAGAAGAGGACACCATAAGCTAGGCTGGTAGTTTGTTCTTTCTCCCGATGAGGGTAAGGGGAGAGGGCCTAGGTTCAAGAGTCACGGTTTGCTACTGTGTAGAGTTATGTATCTAAAACCTTCTGGTTAGTCCAGGAGCCTCATTTATAAAACACATGTACAATAGGATTTGATACTTAATTGACCATTCGCAAAGACCTGCTCCCCTTCGTTACTGTTGCTATGGCTGACAAGCCATGCTGCTCTCATGCCACGCATCATGTTCTCATGCAGTGAAAAATACATTGTGGAGCAAAGAGGAAACTGACAACACGCCGACAAGCAAGACAGAGCAGGTTAATTTAAGTATGAAACAAAGTCATCTTTAAAATGTTGTCATTTTTTATGAAATTCAAACAATAAATATCCTTTTCGTGGTTCTTTAATACATTGTGACAGATCGCTGTAGCGCCTCCGTTCAAGTGGCACGTGAACCTATCATCTCTTCCACTTTAGTTATAGCATGAAATATCCATGAATGATCATGAGAAATACATCTTGTTTCAACCGCAGAATGTTCAAGTTCAAGTCCACCGATGTTAATCTACTCTCCTGCCTGTTTTGTTTGTTGGACAAAAATGGCAGATTCGGTGTTATGATTGGTCAGATCGCTTGTCAATCAAACTCCCTGCGAAGGGTCAATTCCATGGATTTCATCCTAAACCAAAAATGAGGATCAAATCTGGATTTAAAGGCAAAAACTGGCATGAAAATGTTCTTATGAATACGCTAACTGAAGAGCATGTGTACAAACCTTTTGCGCTCACATATACCAATAATTAAGGGTGTACTCACTCTATTTTCCTATTTAATACTGTAAAGTTGCTTTGACACAATCTGTATTGTTAAAAGCACTATATAAATAAAGGTGGCTTGACTTGAGCCATGGAAACAAGTACTCTATGTGCGTTTTAAACAGAACCTTTTCAGAGTCCAGCGAGGTGCTTTATAAGAGTCGATGACTGAAGCTTCCTTGTTGGTGGTAAAAGACAACATTAGCATGGCTGAATGCTGGTTTAATGGACTTAATTACTGTATGTACCCAGCAGATGTGTCCCTCTGTCAGACTCCCGTCCCTCGAGCTGTGCATGAGAGTGTGGGGGCCATGCGGAGCAAGTGTTTACTGGAACCTGGAGGACCCTTATTAATCAAACCAAGAACAAGGCTTGAAACCTGTTATAAGCGAATTCACTTGGTCAGACAGAAAGATTGATGTATTACACAGAACAAGAGGGCAGCCCTATTCTGGAAGAAAGACATCTTTTTGAAAGTTCGATTTAAAAATAGGGTTGTAAAATGACAATGATTCAACTGAATTATGATTCTTTAAAAAAAAAAAAGTAAGGTTTCATAAAATAAAACAAAACAGAAAAAAAAAAAGTTTTAATTCACTGATAAATACTATTTTTTTTTTACATGTTTACTAAGCATCATACAGATGGAAATCAATGCAAAGCATACTTGGCACAGTAATACTGATGTAATGAGTTGACAGGTGTGTGTTTATAGAGTATTTTACAATGGCTTTGAATACAGCTAGGCCAATTATAATCAAGGTCCGAAACTATCCATTTTATAACTTCCCCTTTATAATAAATGCACAAAACGTATTCTAATTCTGCTTTTTGTTTTAAGAACTTATAAAATTGTAAAATTTTTACTTCAGAGACAGTCCATTTCTTTTTATTTTATTATGAATTCAATAACTGCTAACTAACCTGGCAGCAAGTCCAAGGTTATTCAACTTTTTTTTCACAGAGGGAAAAAATGTCATTCCCATCACATTATACCAAAATCCTCCTGAAGGTTGAGCCAAGGCCGTGATCAGATCTTTATTCAGGGATATGCAATAAATGTTTTAACACAGATGAACATCAGTTTGAAAAAGTTAAATTTTTCGAGATTTCTTGTCAAAAGTGCCCGTAATTGAAGAATCATACTATAATTGATGCATATCTAAGGGGTTTAACTAACAAATGTGTCATTGTGTTCAGAGTAAAAGCAAAGTTTCACGGCTGAAATTAAACTCTTTGTCTTCTGAAGGCGTGACTAAAGCACCCAGCTGAAGGTTGTGTTCTGGACCCAATGATGTTCTCAGGTAACACGCTCATTCAGCCATCAATTTTGGCCCGCAGACGCCCTTGTTGATTCCAAGTGTGCTGAAATCTGCTTCCTCCAATTACTGGGGGTCGAGTCGCTGGCAGGCATGAAAGAACAACTGAATGTAGAGCATCTGTTTTTGCCGCCTGCCTTTCATACATCAGCATGTTTTATTGAAGGGCAGACGGTCTACTTACGGCTTGTGTGCTGTTTGTTGTTCCCCATCATGCCTGAGGGCTCTATATCATTCATTCCTCTTAATATAATGCATGGGGCTCTGACCCTTAATAGCATGCCACAAATATCAAACCAATCATGTTAAATAAGAATTACATCTGATGTCTGTGCAAACAGCACCTCCTTCTCTGCACAGCTACAGCTGGCTTGACGCTCTAAAGCAACATGTGGCTGGATCTTCTGTACGTTTCTCCATGTCTATATTTCTACATTCTATTTATTATTAGTTCATTTTAAATAATTAACTGCATTAAATTAACACATTAAAATGACAGCCCTATCATATTCCTGTTATGTGTAAAGATTTGGCGCACAGTGGCAAAAGGACCATCAATTTATGGCGGTGTCCTTGTTCCCAGCTACTGTGTTTGCATTAATAAAACCCATCTGCCTCAGTTCGTGCTGGCTGTCTCCCTAAGCCTTCCTCTACATCAATGAAAAACAGCCCACCTGCCATTCTCACGGGACTCTGATCGCAATAACATCTACAGTCTCTTAACATCTTTTCAAACAGGGCACACAATCTCTCTCTCTGGCTGTCACTCATTTTTCACACTGAAATTACGGAGTTTGGATGCCATGTGTGGTGCCTCACAAACTCTTCTTCACAGCTTGTGGGCTTGTTAACACAAAAGGGCAGTCAGTGTCATTGTGACTAAGTGTTCTTGGGTAAATTGGTGTGCAATCCACCTGGCTTAAAGGAATAGTTCACCCAAAAACTGTAGCTTTCGAATCAAATATGGCGCCATGGTCATGTCATGTCAGTTCAGATGTCATTTATTCTTGCATATCTTGTGAACGAAATTCAATGTCATTGGTGCTTATTGGTGTTGTTCCAAAATTGTATGACTTTCTTTCTTCTGTGGAACATAATAGAAGATATTTTGAGAAATTTGTTTTTTTTTCTTTACAATTGAAGTCAATGGTAACCAGTTCTATTTAGTTCCAACATTCTTTAAAATATAATCTTCTGTGTTTTACAGAAGAAAGTCATAAAAGTTTGGAAAGACAACAGGGTGAGGTAATGATGGCAGTATTTGCATTTTTAGGTGAACTAGCCCTTTAAGAACTACAGTGGATGGGATTTTTTTTTGTGAAAAATTGGTTAAGATTCATTTCTGGTGCTGTGACCCCATGACTACTGTAGGTGTTGAGGAATAAAGGCTTGATATATAAGACCAAAGATGAACCTCAGCAACCCAACGTGCTGATAGAGTCAAAGGCCTCACTGCTGACTATCACAGCTATTTATACAAGTGAGTGAGTGGAGAAGTGGGAAGAGAAGAAAGAAAGGAAAAGAAGGAACATCGGAGGCCTTTTCTTTTGTGTGTGTGTGTGCATTGCTTCTAAACATGTAGCATATATCTTTAGGAATAAGAAAATGTTGTTGTCTACACAGTCTCACGTCATTCCAAATCCATATGACCTGATTTCTTGATGTATAACACAAAATCAATTTTGAAAAACTATACAATCAAAAATGTAAAGCTTCTAGCTTCAAAAAAGAAAGAAAAAAAACCAAGCTACATAAGTGGTCCATATGACTCAATTCTCTGCAGTGGTTCTCAAACTGATTTTCATATCTGAATTAAAAAAAATTCTGCATCATATTTGTGTACGAGACACAGATGTGCAGGAAAAAAGCTACAAGATATCATCTTTTGTGTTCCATGGTGAAAAGCAAGTCATCCAGGTGTGGAGCGACAAGTAAATGATGACAGAATTGCAACTATTTTTTTAAAGCCAAATGTGTGCTTCTAGTATTTTATTATCAAAACACATTTTGGGTAAGTAAGTGTCTATGAAAATGCGCTAAAAAAACATTATCCTGTATATTACAAGTAAATTAGAAGCAACAACTCAATCTTAAATGAATGTCTTCTCCGTTGGGAGCCAAGCAATTCTGCTACAAATACAATACTTCATTTTCTCCACCTGTGGAGTGGCGTGAACATATGTTCTTGGCATGACAGTAATGGGCTGCTGTGTCAACCTCATACACACACATACAGGCACTCATCACTACATCACAGATTCAGTGCCGCAGGTCTCAAATGCCGTGTGTAAAAATTCTCCCAGAGTCTGATTCCACCTCCGCAAGCATTAATGGGAACGAGAGACACCTGCTGAGAAACTCGAGCCCCAAAATGGCAGCCCTTCTTCCACACCAAATGTGGAAAACAGGAAACTGAACCTGAGCCTTGTTTACTCTACCAGCTTAATCTTGTCAATAGCCTAATGAAACAATCCATGCTCATTCAACAAGTGGCTGCAACCTAAAGCATTAGTGACATTTCAAATGTGAACATTTTAAAGACTACATTTTAATTTACTACAGATAAAATCTAGATTATCCATCTAATAGGCCTATCAGTCCGGTTCCTCCTTAAACAATCAAAGAAAATGTAACACTGCACTCTTTTCATTTTTACATCTCTGTGCATCCCATAGGCGGAGCTTGTGTATTCCCCTGGCCACGGGGACTTGGGTCAGAAATGCCACTAAATTGGACAAAAATGCCCCTGCAGAAACAAATTAAATCTATTACGTCTGTTGCTAACAAAGTGAATATGAATAGACAGTGTCGATTGCGGCATTAAATTAAGATCTGCTCATGTTGCACCGTATTTCATTTTAGGCATTTTTACA